AGGCGTTCCCGAGGAGCGTAGCGACAAAGAACCCCGGGTTAGCTATTGCCCCTTAAACCAAAGGGCCATGCCTTAAATTTTCGAATGACTTGTTAGGAAAAATTTAACGGTACATTACTCACAAAACCTTGATTTTGAGATCCTTTAAACATACTTGAATGACAATCTATGCTTATCATGCATCTGCATCTATCAAAATATCCATTTTGCGAAATTTTTATTTTTTATTTAGTTTTTCAAAGTTCAACTAAATCATATTATATAGTTGAGGGCCTTAATTTTTGAACACTTTAATGTCATTTTTCTACTTTTCTTGATTCCTGTTTAAGCGAACCAAGAATTGGGTTTGAAATCAATGAAAAATTGCGTTTCCCAGTTAAAACTATTTAAAAAATTATTAGGCTCAGTCTGAAACATTCTAAGCTCCAAATTTTAAAATTTAACGCTGATAGAACAATTGAAAGTCTAAGCCAGTTCCCTAAAAAGAGCCAAACTTTTAAAAAAATGTAATGCTACCCCTTAAAAATAACAGGATAATTTTGAGGCGCTAATTGAATCACTTTTTTAAAATACAAAGTCTTGCACTTGAACGAAGTACAACTCTCGTAAATGGTTTTGTTGTCCCTATTCGCAAAACTCTTAGTTTTTAATCATAGTCAGTTCTCGTTTGGTCTTCTTCAAAACCAGTTTTATTTCAAACTTGAATTTTTACTGAATTACTTAAGTAACTTCAACAAACAAAGCCAAACTCTACTTCTATCACGACACCTGTTCCTTGCCAGCAGTGCAAAAAATACTGAGCTCTAAAAGGAACTAGAGAAGACAAGAACAAATCTTCACAAGATCCTTCCTCTTTCTCCTTCCCAATTTGTTTGCGATGAGCGTCTCAAATCATTCGAGAGTCTGTCGAGAGCACGTCGAGCTGGCGCATTACATGACTACAAAGCGAGATTTCCAAAATTTGCTGAAGAAGCACGCATTGCCATTTTGGGATGGCATCGACATGATCTCTTCCGCTGCCCAACTGAAAGCGCTTGCAGAAGAAAATTGCGCCGATACGATCTCAAAGTTGGTGAAAAACAAATGGATTTGCTTCAAATCATGATGAAAAACAAGGAGGAAAAAGATGCTCTCATACTGGAAAGAGTCAAATGGGGCCCGAACAATGTGCAATAACATGTGAAAGTAGGTAGAGTAATCTGATTTGATTTGGAATCACTGCTCTTGCCAGTATATGGACCACAATCTGATCTGCAGAATCTAGCATGCAAATGATTGAAATCCATCAACCGTGCGGCTACGCCTTAAAAGAAATCGATTTTGGTAAAACAAAACTGTTAAAACTTGAGCTTAAAAGTAGACTGAATGTGATGGAAGAGTTAATTAGCTCCGTTGAAACGTTAGCGAGACAAATTTACGTAGAATTTTTTTTACGGTTTCACCGGTATAACAGGCCACGAATGGGAAGATGCTACGGTTTGTTGGATATGTGAGAACGGTTTTTCTGACAATGATCAAGTGGTACTTAATCATGGCCACTACACCAACAAGTTCTCGGGTTGAGCACATGAGTGTAACTTTAATAGAAGAAAAAAAAATCACATTCGAGTGGTAGCCATAGTTTGTCAAATTATGATCTACACTTTGTAATCAAAGCGCTGGCGAAAGGCAATCTGGAAAAACAGTTTTTCTGTAAAACCCTCATCTGAAAAAATAATATATGTCCTTGACAATCTCAGTATATCTCAAAATGTTCAAGGACAAAACATGCGCTTTTCTCGCTGATTATTTACTCGCTGACAATGAGCAACGACCAAATGGACATGATGGAAAAAATTGAGAATCACCACACTGCCAAAGGTGCCAAAGCTTCTACAGACCTATGTTTTGCCTTATCTTACCCTAAAGTTGTACTACGAGCTAGAATTGTTGGCACGCTTTGTCGACCTCAACATTCGCCTACGAAAAACCGCGTTAAAAAAATTTCAGTAGAGTTTTTACAGATCAATTGTTAATTCAGCATTCGGTAAGACAATGGAGTCTAAGTAAGAAAAAAAAAGCTTGAGACTATTAGGAAAGAGAGAGAGAGAACTTCATCAAAAAACAGCTCTGAGCAGGTTCAAGAGCTTTCAAATCGTTTACGACCAATTAGCCATAATCAGGTTTTCAGTAACAAATTATTATGGGACAAACCTATGATAGTTGCTGCAACAATCTCAGACCTCGCCAAGCGTTTCATGTTTACATTTCATTATCAAAAATTGAAACCGAATCGGAACTTGGAACTCTTATACTACGACACGAATCGTTTTATTTATAACATAAAAACTGACGACATTTAGCGAGATTTACAGAAAAGAAAAACTGACTACAATTTTTCGTATCAATTTTAGTTATTTTCAACTTATGATTAGAGTCATTTTTTTTCGACGATACAAACAAAAAAGTTGTGCGAAAAAATAAAGACGAGATTGGTGGGAAGCCCATCAGAGCTTTCATCGCCCTAAAACCGAAATTATATTCGGTCGTCCAAAATCCCAACTTAAGCCAACCTACCTTCCACCCTTATTCTTCCCTTTTTACAGAAAAAGTTACCATCACCACCAACCTCCCTCACTCCCCCCTTAACTTGTGGCAATAAACTATGGGTATTCAGCTGCTTTAGGCAACGTTATTCAATAATGCCTAAGCTTTGATTTATCTGAAAACATATTTAATCTTTTTTTTCTTTTTTAATTATAATTTAGAGTCACCTGCTCTGTAGTAATTTGAAAAAAATTTTGTTCGGCATAAATTGAGTTTCAGAAGTGAAATGAAATTATCCCCTGCCTTGAAAAAAATAAAAATTTTGCTTGTGTTTAGAAGGCACTCAAAAATTGAGTGCCAAACGCATACAACGGATTGCACAGCGAGAACTGGACCACCAAAACTTCAGGGACGCATTATTCAATGGAAAAGCAATGAGAGTGTACAACTATAATATAGTTTCCAAAGGTCTCGCGAATATGACAGTAAAACAAAACAAACTTGCATTATCACCATTCGATAAAAAACGATTTCTCCTTTTCGACAGCAATTCAAAAGTTCCTTTTTGCCATAAGGTCAACGATGAATATGCTTTTCTAGAAGTCATTTACACGGACACCATATAATGAAGCTGATAACAGTTCGCCCGATATTCAATTTCCGGATTGGGGATTTTTAAAGCGGCCCTACTCAGAAACAAAGCTGGGAGAAGAAAAAGCTTCTAGTAGCCAAGTCCTTGAACGAGGTCCTATAAATAACCCATTTATTTTAACGGAAGTTTCAGAAGAAAGACCATCTAAAAAACAACGCAAAGAAAACCAAAACAATAAGCTTTAAATTTTGAAACATATATTTTGAGATAAGTTCTACTGCTCGTCCTTTTGATACTCCGACAAAAACTCGAAATAGTTTTTACCAATTTTACAGTAATAAAAAGTTCCTTTTGGGCTCAACCACTGTTTCAACATAAATAGTTTCAGGCAAATAAACTAGTTGGCGAAAATCAAGTGTTAGTTCAATCAAATATGACAAATCCTTTTGTTCAATTTTAATATAAAAAGCATGACAAAATTCCACGAAAAGAAAGAAAGCCAGGAATTGATACCCAAGGACAAGAAATGAAACAAGGACGAAAAAGAAAAGTTCAAGAATAAGGATGAATAAATTTAATTATCGCGGGAAAAGGGACCTCCTTCAAGGAAATTAGAAGTAATTATGGTATCGCGTCCCGATTTTTAAGCTCAGCTTAACAAGATCCTAAGTAGGGTGCCTTTGACTCTAAGGGCGGGAACTTACGTTCACTTTCAAAATCCCAGGATAGGGTCCTCCAAATAATAAAGGAACTCTTTCCTAGGATTTTGTTTTACGTGAAGACCCCCCCCCCCCCCCGGATTGACCTCCATAGACCAAAAATTCTAATCATACAGTTCCATAAACTAAGTCTATGAAAAAATACTAATCATACAAATTTCATACATTTTGCTAAAATGGTGTCGTCGAATTTTCAAAAAACTTTTATCTTGTTTTGGCATAAAATTCGGTGTATCGTAGAACGTTTTTTGTCAAAAAAATGCTAACCATTCATTTTCCATATACGGAAAATTTATGTCTAGCCTTTTTTTGATGGCGACGTATCTTTGAAATTGCCCGCAAAAATTTTTTTGTTTTTTTTTTCAACCGCGAATTGATTTTCGTGCTCAAACAAACATTTCTTGAAAAAAATTTGGATGCAAAATTTAAATTTTTGTGTGCATAACGTAGTCCTGGATATACTAATATTGGATTTTTTTCCTTTTCTCTTCATAACTTTTTTCAAAAACACTTAAAACTCCACTTTTTGTATGACATGTTTTTCTTTGCCTTGATCAAAGTCTGGCAATTCAAAAAATCAACTTTTAGAATTAATCATCTTTGAAAGTTTCTGCCAAAATTTAAAAGTTCGTTACTTTCGTTATATTATTTGTGTGAGACAGAATTAAAACATTTCAGGCTGTTTCAATTGCATTTTTAAAGCGAGACGGCCAAACTTTTGTTTATTACGTTTGAGTAACCAAGGTTTATATCCTTTGTGTTCGGTTACGAACACAACCAAAAAAATTTTGAGGAGTTAAAATGTAAAAAATAAATATTTTTGGTCTATGGAAAAATGCTAGTCATACAATTTCCATATATGAAAAAGTACTAATCATAGACATTTCATGCAATTTTCTGTACTTATGGAAGTGCATAAAAAGTGTATGATTCGCATTTTTCCGTATATGAAAATTGTATGACTAGCATTTTTGGTCAACCCGGGCTCTCCTTAGGATCCGGAACACGAAACAATACTCCTCGTAAAAATGAGACCTTTTTGAACGGCTGAAATTTGTGAAATTGGTGAAACCTGGAGATCAAATATCTTGAAAAAAACATCGAACAATTTTGTGCAACTGGATTTCTGATCACGCGTAACTTGAAGATGCCTTGAAACTTACGCGCTCGGTAGTAGGTGTCGATTTTTTCCGACCAGCGGTCACCACATTCGTTCACTGAAGACACCCGGAAACGCAAAAACTGCCCTGGTTCCACAATTGTGGCCAGAGTTCCTGCAGGGTCCGACCCGGGGGCTACCAGGTCAATGACCTCGTCGTTCGTTGCTGGAAATGTACTGTCGGACTGGTACCTTAAATATTATAAGTGAACGCGATTCGACCAACTTCCCCGACTCCAGATTGTATTTCAACTGCGATCAACAATATTCAATACACCATCACGGCTTAAAAGGTGCATTTTTGGTCATATTGTGGACTAAATTATAGGCGCATAGATTTTATACTTGACGTTGAAAATGAAAGCGCGACTTATTGAAGCGTGGCCAATTCTTCTGCACTCAAAAGCTTTCATTACGAGGCCAGAAAGCTTGAGGAAAGCTAATGGTCTTATTATTTCCAAAAAATAGCTAAAAATCGTTTGCGACCACTAAAGGCCAAGCGGAACATTCAGGGTTTTGTCTTAATACACGTAATAATATACCTTTTTCAACCATTTTTTTGAGGCAGTATTTCTGGTATTAATGCTCAAACAAAGGTTTTTATAGCCGAAAAACCAAAATAGTAATTTTCAAAACTTCTCAGCAAAAAGCACTCATAGCATTTTACATGACAAACAATGAACTTTTGCAAGATTCTGAAATAACAAAAAGTCAAAGACCATTTACTATTCCGCAAATTCGCCAATTTTTGGAGCGATTTTGAGCGGTACAATGATTTAGGTATTTGTTTGTGAAATCCAAAACAGCAAAGAAGATCAAAAAAATGTAGCAATGTTGCGGATTCCGCGACAAATCTGATTTTGTCCTGTTGCGGATTCCGCTTACAATGCAGAGAATGCACAGTTTGGCCTCGTAATGTAACACTTCTTTCATTCCGGCCTTTAGCGGATACTTGATAAAAAGTTTTTAAACACCACCCACATGTTTTACCGAGAAAAATTGACGCACCAATTGCCTGGATAAGTATAAAGGGGCCAAAATTATAATCTCATACTGTCAACGATCCACTCCTGAATCTGAATTGTTCAATTGGTCAAACAAATTTACACCGACACTCGGTTCAAGGCCGCTTGTAAGCGCACTAAGCGCGTCGCAGCTTTACGGCGATAACTTTTTATAATTTCATATACAATCCAACTGGCGAGCTCCAATTGGCGAGCTCACATAACGTCACGGATGCTTGAAAAACAGACAATTAATTTTTCATACTGGCCTGAAAAAAAATTGACCAATCAAACTCGAGAATGCTAATTATGATGCTCGTTGACCGTTATGAGAAGAGGTAGAATGTCTGCTCAATGCAAATTAGTTAGCTGAGCCCAGATATTCTTCTTCGAACCAAGATACATTTTTATTCGTCTAGAACTTCCACGAGGTACCACTGTTGCAGCCTTAATCTGTCGCAGGCTTTTGTAGAATTGGAGTTAGAGATCAGGTGAGAGCTCACCCCCACACACTATCATTTCTTGACAGGATATCAAACGTCTTACCAATATGTCTTACCACTATCGTTTTAAACAAAGGTTTAGAGAACTTTCGACAATAATAATGACAAAAGATAAAAACTGGATGCAGGTACGTTAATGATCGGCCCGAACATTCAAGACTCAGCTCTTATACGTTCAATCCTGACTTATCTTTTGATTTTTTTGGCCAGTCACTTTGAACTCACAGCTGAAGTTCTGCGTAGTATTTGGAAATGTGGTTGGGTTTTTTGGCGTCTGCAATTGCATAATCGACTTTTCCAGCTGTGGATCCTGTGCTGAGAGTGACTCCATTTGGCTGAAGTGGGACTGAAAAGAACTACAGCAGTAAGAAAAAATTATGTGGAGGGGGAGGAGAGGGGGTGGTTTGTATCGGGCAAATGTTAATGTTTTTGTCACCTAAATTTAAGTTACATGTATTTGTACGCAGAATCCACAAAAATTTTGCAAGTAAATCAGTTCCACTTACATTTTGGAACAAGTTAAAAGACTTGTCTCTGGAATCCAGGAACATACAGACACATTGTGCGCCTATCCAGTGCACAGTTTAGCTTCGTAATGTGAGCTCACCGTCTCAGAAGCTTTGACCATTTAATTGCAAAGAGAGCCTTAAATTTTGCAACCAACCAAAAAACAACAAAAGCACCAAAAAATGCATTCAAAAATATCCCTCGCCAAACAGTTCCTTTCTCTCCCTTTTCAGGAGCTGTAACAATCTATTTGGCGATTGATATTGTTAGGCGCTTTTCCGTCTTAGAATAGCAGCGAAACCCGCACCGAGCGCCCATGGATCATAATCGATTATATTGTCATAATATGGTCAGCATCTATAAAATGACAAAATAATCGATTCTAACCCATTAAAAATGGATTATAATCCTAATTTTTATTATCCCAATAAAATCCATTATAATCGACTATAATCGATTATAATGGATTTTTTCGAGGGGTTATTCAGTAATTTTACAATTTTGTTCAAAATTATCTCATTTCCTGTTTAGTGTAGTTGCTACGTGTTTCATAAAATGTTACATTTAAGAAAAAAATTTATATTTTTTTTGTCTCTACTTTTTCTAATTCATCGCAGTTTAACACCTCATTTTACCCCCCCCCCCCCCAGCCAGTTAAGCCCCCAGTACCCAGTATACTACCACCCACCAGTTTACTATCCCCCCCCCCCCCAGTTTACCCCCTCCCACCATTTAGCCCCCCCTCCAGTTTACCCTGCCCCTTTAGCTGGGGGGGGGGGGGGGGGGGGGGGGTTTGGGTAAGAAAGCTTGAGGGGAAGAGGGGATGACCAGTTTAACCCCCCTCCCCCGGTTTGTTTACCCCCACTCCGTTCGGTTTATTTACTCCCCCCCCCCCCCCAGATTTATTTAACCCCCCCTCCCAGTTTACTTCCCCATCCCCCCAGTTTATACCTCCCAGTTTACCCTGCCCCTTTAGTTGGGAAGGGGGTAAAAAGCTTGAGGGGGCGAGGGGACGAAGTTGAGACATGGCATTTAGTAAAAAACAGGGCATAAATTCTGCAAACTTCTCGCAAAATTTTGCATCAATAATCGAATTTAGTTCTAAAAATGAAATGGATTATAATCAAATATAATGGATTATTATGGATTTTCATTTCAAAATAATCGATTATAATGGATTATCTTGACAAAAATAATCGATTTCAGTGACAAAAATAACGGATTATAATCGATTATAATGGATTATAATGGATTTTATTTGTTCAGAAATAATCGATTATAATGGCTATATAATCAATTTCGTGGTTTAAATTTTACATCCGTAATGGATTATAATCGATTGTTTTTGTCTCGGGAATCCATTATAATCAATTAGAATCCATGGGCGCTCGGTGCGGGAAGCTTCTCACAAAATAAAACAATTGACATTTAAGGACCACAAGTAGATCAGCTTTTGGCTGTGGAACCAGTTCTAAACTACAATTTGTAATTGGTTATAAATATATTTCTCTAATTTTATAAAATATTTTTAACTAACCATTCGATTCAAAACGATTTCTCCTTTTCGACAGCAATTCAAAAGTTCTTTTTGCCATAAGGCCAACAATGAATATGCTTTTCTAGAAGTCATTTACACGGACACCATATAATGAAGCTGATAACAGTTCGCCCGAATTTCAATTTCCGGATTGGGGATTTTTAAAGCGACCCTACTCAGAAACAAAGCTGCGAGAAGAAAAAGCTTCTAGTAGCCAAGTCCTTGAACGAAGTCCCATAAATAACCCATTTATTTTAACGGAAGTTTCAGAAGAAAGACCATCTAAAAAACAACGCAAAGAAAACCAAAACAATAAGCTTTAAATTTTGAAACATATATTTTGAGATGAGTTCTACTGCTCGTCCTTTTGATACTCCGAAAAAAACTCGAAATAGTTTTTACCAATTTTACAGTAATAAAAAGTTCCTTTTGGGCTCAACCACTGTTTCAACATAAATAGTTTCAGGCAAATAAACTAGTTGGCGAAAATCAAGTGTTAGTTCAATCAAATATGACAAATCCTTTTGTTCAATTTTAATAAAAATTTTTTATAAGCATGACAAAGTTCCACGAAAAGAAAGAAAGCCAGGAATTGATACCCACATGAAACAAGGACGAAAAAGAAAAGTTCAAGAATAAGGATGAATAAATTTAATTATCGCGGGAAAAGGGACCTCCTTCAAAAAAATTAGAAGTAATTATGGTATCGCGTCCCGATTTTTAAGCTCAGCTTAACAAGATCCTAAGTAATGTGCCTTTGACTCTAAGGGCGGGAACTTACGTTCATTTTCAAAATCCCAGGATAGGGTCCTCCAAATAATAAAGGAACTCTTTCCTAGGATTTTGTTTTACGTGAGGACCCCCCCCCCCCCCGGATTGACCTCCATAGACCAAAAGTTCTAATCATACAGTTCCATAAACTAAGTCTATGAAAAAATACTAATCATACAAATTTCAAACATTTTGCTAAAATGGTGTCGTCGAATTTTCAAAAAACTTTTATCTTGTTTTGGCATAAAATTCGGTGTATCGTAGAACGTTTTTTGTCAAAAAATGCTAACCATTCATTTTCCATATACGGAAAATTTATGTCTAGCCTTTTTTTGATTGCGACGTATCTTTGAAATTGCCCGCAAAAATTTTTTTGTTTTTTTTTTCAACCGCGAATTGATTTTCGTGCTTAAACAAACATTTCTTGAAAAAAAAATTTGGATGCAAAATTTAAATTTTTGTTTGCATAACGTAGTCCTGGATATACTAATATTGGATTTTTTTCCTTTTCTCTTCATAACTTTTTTCAAAAACACTTAAAACTCCACTTTTTGTATGACATGTTTTTCTTTGCCTTGATCAATGTCTGGCAATTCAAAAAATAAACTTTTAGAATTAATCATCTTTGAAAGTTTCTGCCAAAATTTAAAAGTTCGTTACTTTCGTTATATTATTTGTGTGAGACAGAATTAAAACATTTCAGGATGTTTCAATTGCATTTTTAAAGCAAGACGGCCAAACTTTTGTTTATTACGTTTGAGTAACCAAGGTTTATATCCTTTGTGTTCGGTTACGAACACAACCAAATAAATTTTGGGGAGTTAAAATGTAAAAAATCAATATTTTCGGTCTATGGAAAAATGATAGTCATACAATTTCCATTTATGAAAAAGTACTAATCATAGACGTTTCATGCAATTTTCTGTACTTATGGAAGTGCATAAAAAGTGTATGATTCGCATTTTTCCGTATATGAAAATTGTATGACTAGCATTTTTGGTCAACCCGGGCTCTCCTTAGGATCCGGAACACGAAACAATACTCCTCAAAAAAATGAGACCTTTTTGAACGGCTGAAATTTGTAAAATTGGTGAAACTTGGAGATCAAATATCTTGAAAAATACATCAAACAATTTTGTGCAACTGGATTTCTGATCACGCGTAACTTGAAGATGCCTTGAAACTTACGCGCTCGGTAGTAGGTGTCGATTTTTTCCGACCAGCGGTCACCACATTCGTTCACTGAAGACACCCGGAAACGCAAAAACTGCCCTGGTTCCACAATTGTGGCCAGAGTTCCTGCAGGGTCCGATCCGGGGGCTACCAGGTCAATGACCTCGTCGTTCGTTGCTGGAAATGTACTGTCGGACTGGTACCTTAAATATTATAAGTGAACGCGGTTCGACCAACTTCCCCGACTCCAAATTGTATTTCAACTGCGATCAACAATATTCAATACACCAGCACGGCTTAAAAGGTGCATTTTTGGTCATATTGTGGACTATATTATAGGCGCATAGTTTTTATCCATGGCGTTGAAAATGAAAGCGCGACTTATTGAAGCGTGGCCAATTCTTCTGCACTCAAAAGCTTTCATTACGAGGCCAGAAAGCTTGAGGAAAGCTAATGGTCCTATTATTTCCAAAAAAATAGCTAAAAATCGTTTGCGACCACAAAAGGCCAAGCGGAACATTCAGGGTTTTGTCTTAATACACGTAGTAATATACCTTTTTTAACCATTTTTTTGAGGCAGTATTTCTGGTATTAAGGCTCAAACAAAGGTTTTCACAGCCGAAAAACCAAAATAAACATTTTCAAAACTTCTCAGCAAAAAGCACTCATAGCATTTTGCATGATAAACATTAAACTTCTGCAAGATTCTGAAATACCAAAAAGTCAAAGACAATTTAGGTATTTGTTTGTGGAACCCAAAACAGCAAAGAAGATCAAAGAAAAGTAGCAATGTGCGGATTCCGCGACAAGTCTGATTTTGTCCTGTTGCAGATTCCGCTTACAATGCACAGAATGCACAGTTTGGCCTCGTAATCTAACACTTCTTTCATTCCGGCCTTTAGCGGATACTTGATAAAAAGTTTTTAAACAACACCCACATGTTTTACCGCGAAAAATTGACGCACCAATTGCCTGGATAAGTATAACGGGCCCAAAATTATAATCTCATATTGTCAAAGAGCCACTCCTGAATTGGAATTGTTCAATTGGTCAAACAAAATTACACCGACACTCGGTTCAAGGCCGCTTGTAAGCGCACTAAGCGCGTCGCAGCTTTACGGCGATAACTTTTTATAATTTCATATACAATCCAACTGGCGAGCTCCAATTGGCGAGCTCACATAACGTCAGGGATGCTTGAAAAACAGACAATTAATTTTTCATACTGGCCTGAAAAAAAATTGACCAATCAAACTCGAGAATGCTAATTATGATGCTCGTTGACCGTTATGAGAAGAGGTAGAATGTCTGCTCAATGCAAATTAGTTAGCTAAGCCCAGATATTCTTCTTCGAATCAAGATACATTTTTTTTCGTCTAGAACTTCCACGAGGTACCACTGTTGCAGCCTTAATCGGTCGCAGGCTTTTGTAGAATTGGAGCTAGAGGTCAGATGAGAGCTCACCCCCACACACTAGCATTTCTTGACAGAGGAGATCAAACGCCTTACCAATATGTCATACCACTATCGTTTTAAACAAAGGTTTAGAGAACTTTCGACAATAATAATGACAAAAGATAAAAACTGGATGCAGGTACGTTAAAGATCGGCCCGAACATTCAAGACTCAGCTCTTATACGTTCAATCCTGACTTATCTTTTGATTTTTTTGGCCAGTCACTTTGAACTCACAGCTGAAGTTCTGCGTAGTATTTGGAAATGTGGTTGGGTTTTTTGGCGTCTGCAATTGCATAATCGACTTTTCCAGCTGTGGATCCTGTGCTGAGAGTGACTCCATTTGGCTGAAGTGGGACTGAAAAGAACTACAGCAGTAAGAAAAAATTATGTGGAGGGGGAGGAGAGGGGGTGGTTTGTATCGGGCAAATGTTAATGTTTTTGTCACCTAAATTT